GCTCCCTGGAAAGGAGGGTCTCCTTCCAGAGCCTGTGAAGCAGCTTCAGGGGTCAGATCCTGCCCTGCTCTGCCCATCCTGCTGATTCACCTTGGACCAGCCTAGCCCTCTCTGACCAGTGTGGCTGCCCCTTTTCTTCATGTTCTCGCCTTATGGGGAAGGGGGGAGTGGAAGAAAAGGCACGTGGCCCAGGCCAAGAGGGGGTGGCAGGTAGGGAGGGGCAATTTGTGTTGGGACAGGAGGTCTGGGGGGAGTGCCCCTCATAGCCCAGAGCCAGGTTCTGACTGCAGTTGCCTACAGAGAATGCGGCAGCCCTGGAGGAGTTGCTGAAAGAGTATCACAGCAAACAGCTGATACAGACCAACCACAGGCCTATGCCCAGGTGAGTGGGCAGGTGGGCGAGGAGGGCCCACACCCAGATAATCAGCCTACCGCCTGGGGACTCACCACTGGGTATGTTCCCTCTCCTGTCACCCCTGTTCCCTTTCATTACCTTCTGTGGTGTCCTGGGCCTGGTTTCTAGTGACCACTGCTACCTGTGCCCTCTGCAGGCTGCCGCCCGAACTCCCCAACATGCCGCACATCTGTCCGCAGGACCACCATCTCCACACCGTGCAGGGCCTAGCCTCACTCTCTGGCCCCTGCTGCTCCCGTTGTAGCCAGAAGAAGTGGCCCGAGGTGCTGCTGTCTCCTGAAGCTGCAGCTGCCACTACTCCCACTCCTAGACCCCTGCCCAACCTGGCCAGGGCTCCCAGGGCCAGCACCAAGGCAGGACGCCAGGGCGAGATCACCATCTTGTCTGTGGGCAGGTGAGATGGGCACAGGTGCAGCAGAGTCAGGGAGAGACATGACAGCTAGGGTAGGTGGGGGAGGGCAGGGCCTTAAGTTGAGCCTCGAAAACCCTGCTTCATGATGGTCCCACCTTTCCTGGCTTCACTGTGCCTCTCTGGGCAGTGGGGGTGACCAGGGAGAAGTCAGGTCTACCCAGCTGTGCTATCTCACAGAGCCCTTGCACCCTCAGGGCAGGGTCCTGGCCCCTATTACACCTGGGGCCCCTCAGACCAAGAACCTGTCCACCTACAATCTAGGGTTTGGAGTGTTGGGGGCTCATCTGTGGGTGAGAGAACATGGGAAAGACTCAGGCTCTGATCCATGAACTTGCTGTGACCCTGGAAGACACTGCTTTCTCTCCATCTGGGATTCTCCCTCTAATGGGGGGATGATTGTATCTCCTCACAGGTTCCGCGTGGCCCGAATTCCTGAGCAGCGGACAAGTTCACTGGCCTCTGAGGTGAAGACCATCACGGAGGCTGGACCTTCAGGGGGTGATCTCACTGACTCCCCACAACCTGGCCTCCCCACTGAGCAGCAAGCACTGCTGGGAAGTGGTGGAAGCCATACTAAGTGGCCAAAGCCCCTTGCAGAGAAGAAGGCCGAGGTGAGAGCCAGATGAGGGAAGGTGTCCGTTGGCATCTGGGCCAGCCCCCATTGCAGATGGGGCAAGGGTGGAAGTGCAGGGGTCCCTGGGCAGGACCCACTTTCCTGAAGCCCAGAAGCCTTTTGACTCAGCTCTGAACCCTCATTCTCGTCCCCCAGGAGAACCGCTATGTGGTCCGGCTAAGTGAGAGCAACCTGGTCATCTGAAGGGCTGTCTTGTCTGAGGACACTGCAGCCCTGCCCAGGGAGGTTCTGAAGGCTTCCTGGAGGAGGTAGAGCTGCAGCTGGGCCTGCGAGGATCGAGAAGCAATGGCCCAGCAGACAAAACAGCAAAGGCCAAGGCCTGGAGGTGGGAGTGTCTGCCCCAGTGAGGAGGCAGGCGGGCCAGTGGGCACCGTGTACAGGAGTGGGTTGAAAGCCCCTCCCTTGCACCTAGTTCCTTCCATGTAGGATGCCCCTGACCTCGTGTCCTGGCCAGATCCTAGGAGCCCACAGGATCCTCTGTACCACTAAGCGAGGCCAGGCCTTGATGGTGGGAAGGGACCCCTCTGCTTGGCACCCTTGGACCCCCACCTTGGTAATTAACCATCTTTTGCCTCTGTACAAGGTCCTAGAGCCAGTGAACTCCCCCTACCCCTTACTTTCTGGCAGGACCTATAAAGGGAAGGGGCAACAAAATGCCATGGGCTGGGAGGCTAAGTTCTTGGGTTCTAATCCTGAGCAAGTCCCTGGCCATCACTGGGTCCCAATTTTTCTGACTGTGAAGTCTCGGTGCCCAGGGCCTCTCCAGCTCCTTGCAGGCTCTGGGCTGGGTCACGTTGGGAGAGAGCTTGACTCCTTGCCACTCCTCCCACTAGTAGCTTTATCTGGCCCCATATTTGCTGCTTCCAGGGTTTCCACCTTCAAGGCCCCTATGGGGCTGCCCATCCATGACTCTGCCCACAGAAGGGGCTTAACGCATGTGCCTGCCCTCACCCTGCTGTTTTTATTGAAATTGCAAAAATAGACTTGACCTGGGCAGGGCTGTAGTACAGAGCCCCAGCCTGCCCAGCCACCCCCAAGATCTCAGGAGCTTCGGGGGTGGGGTGTGTGACTGGCTGGAGAAGTGCTTCTGGCCGAGGTGGTTTGTGTCCCTGTGGTGTCGGTGCATCTGTCCCCCAGCCTGGGCAGTGCAGGCGACTGCCCCACCTGTTTTCACCCTGGCTCAGCAACCTGGTTATTTATGTGGAGCTGTGCAGGCACGGGCCCCACTACCATCCCCATTTCTCTTATTTATTGGAACTTTGCTGTTGTCCTGTTCTTGCATCTCCATCCCCATCCATTTGTTGAATAAAACGTAGGAAAGTGGTGTCATAAGGAGCTTCTTTTTCCTGTGCCTCTTTCCAGGTCATCTGTCCATTCACAGAATGGCTCTGGGTTCGGCACCATGAGCAGGACAGGTCATCCCTCCCCTCACAATGCCTCCTGTTTGACAGCAGGTGAAGTGGGGCCAGAGGAGGCCCCTCACCTCATCTGGTTCTCACTGAAGCCCCCCTAGAGGCAGTGCTATCCAATGGAAATGTAGTGTACACCATGTATGTAATTTAAAATTTAGTAGCCACATTTAAAAAAGTAATAAGAAACAGGTGAACTTAATTTTAACAATATCAATAATTTATTCTTTTTAACCCAGTACATATCTAAAAATGTTTTCATTTCAGTATACAATCTGTATAAAAATTATGAGCCATTACTTCTGCTTTGAAATCTGGTGTGTATTTTATACTTAAACCACATCTTATTATGAACTAGCATATTTCAAGGGCTCGATAGCCACATGTGGCTAGTGGCTCCTGTACTGGACAGCACAGCTCCAGAGGAAGTGGAGCCTGGAAGACGGATGGGGTAAGTAAGACATATAGGGGCTACAGAAAGTGGAATCATGTTCTACAGAAAGGGAACGGCATGTGCAAAGGCCAGACATCAACAGAAATAGGAGTTGGAGAGGCTGGAAGTAGAACCCTCTTAACTTAACTTAGGTGTGAGACGGGTGAAGCGTGTGAGTTCTCCAAAGCCATCAGCCTTATGCCGGGGACGCCAAGGAGCTTCTAAAGTGCGTAGAAAGGGGAAAGGCATGATTGGTCAGCTTGCTCTTGGTGTGTGGAAAGTGGAGGAGCTACAGGAGCATGGGTTCCATAAGGAAGCTGTTGCAGACATCCAGGCAAGAGATGTTGGGGGCCAGGCTACATGGGTGTGACAGAGAGAAACATGGATCCAAGCAATTCCTAGGACAAAACTGCCAGGGCTTGTTAATGGGATGTAGGTCAAAGGATTAGGGCCGGCTGGGCCAGCTGGGTGGGTAAGAGGAGCAGCGGTCCTGGGGGCATCTGTGATACAGCCCCATGGGATGTCCCCAGGCATCTGAATGTTTGACGGCGCTCAAGAGACATCTGGACTACAAGAACATCTGGAAGCACTCAGGTGGGCATTTACACCAGGACTGGACTGGGAGGGGACAAGTTCCAGGGAGAGGGCTCAGGGCAGACTCTAGGCCTGCTCCAGGGCACTGCCAACGGGGTGGGAAGGAAACCAGGAGTGTGCAGTATGCTGGAAGCCAGGGAAGGACAAGTGTTTGGGTAGCACGGTGGGTCACAAGGCCAGGTGCTGCTGCAGGGTCAGGAAGAATGCAGTGTCCCATGGTTTGTGGACACAGGGATGTAGCAGAAGTCACCACAAGGGAGAGCAGGGCTAGGTCTCAGTGGATTGAGCTCCGATAGCTGGTGGGATCTTAGACTCCAGGGAGAGAGGGCTTCTGATTCTGGGTTTTCTTGGTGTTTGGTATATTCTTTAAAGATGGAAGAGAGGGATGCATTTGAAAGCTAATGGGAAAGAGGTCCAAGCACCGGAAAGCAACATTTGATGGCACCTGAGTAGGTCTCGAAAGGGACTCCTGTGTGAGTCCCGGGCCTGTTGCAGCTGGGAGCAGGTGGTGGTCACGCCGGGAGGAGGACAGGTCTTTCTCCTGGGCGGAAGCCATGGCAGGGGCCTGGGCAACAGCTTGAGAAAACCACCCTGAGGGGATGCCGGGCAGGTGTGCCTTGAGATTCCACCTCTTCCCACCTTTTACCTTTCTATGCCACAGGCTTCTCTCTGGGGCTTCTCAGATGGGCAGAAAAGGAAGAGCACCTCTGAGGACCCAGCAGACAAAACTTTACCTGCTCTAGGAAAGGGGAAGGAAGAAGACAGAGGCTGGATATCAGGATTAATTTTCTGGAGCACCAAAGGTTGCCAAAGTCTAGAACAGGGTGTCTGTTTTGGGAGACTAGTGGGCATTCCCGAGGAAGTGTTCCCAGGGGCCATCAAGGTGCACTTGGTGTCCTATTTGCTAGCTGTTCAGCTGTATTTCAGGGTTTGACTTCTTGGTGTTCCCTCAGCCAACTCCATTTCACCTAGGACTTAAATGACATACTGGGATGAAGATGAGACGTGTTCTCTTGATGCCTTCTCACCTGGGGCAAGGTACATCCAGATGCCAGCCAGGTGGAGCCTGGGAATGGGTTTCCCAGGCCAAGTAAGGGACACTCCCACTTAGGTGCTAGGCCTGGGGATAATGAGTACTGCTCCCCTCCAGATGCCCCTCCACCCTCCAATTTTGTTTGCTGGAAGAGAACGGAATGGCCCTGGCCTCAGTTTCCTCATCTGCCCCCTTGGGGATGAAGAATCAGGGTAGGGGGTGTGTCTGATGCCTTTGGCCTTCAGGGTCCCACCCTCACCTGGAAGTCTTCCTGGCTTAACCCTCCCAGGCTTGCTTCCTCTGGATCCTGGCAACCTTGTCAGCTCTCGAGCTCAAGGTAGGCCCAGGCCACTGGCAGGGGTGGGAGCTGGAGGGCAGGGCAAGGCCCTGGGCTGACCATCCTTCATCCACATCCTTTCCCCCGTGGGTCAGAATGGCAGGTGCTGGTGCTCAGGTTGCCTCCCTGCCTGCTCCTGGTCCTCAGCCCTGGCACTACTTGTGGCCAGAGGTGCTCTCCTCACCCACACCTGACAGCTTTCTGCATCAAGGGACGGTGAAGGAGTCTGAAGTGAGAAGGGGAAACGGGAGGGTCCTACGGAGGCACAGGGCATGGTTTGGTGGAAAGGGTTGGAGAGTTAGGAGTCCCGAGTTTTAATTACAGCTCTAGTGTGAGCCAGATCACTTAGCCTCTTTGGGCCTGTTTTCTTGTTGAGGATGTTGAATACTTGGAGGAGTAGACTGTAAAGGCCAGGCCCTGAGAGGGAATGGTGGCCATGATGACCAGGAAGAAGGGTCTGGGCAGTGGCTTTCCCAGAGGGGAGAAGAGAGATGGTGTAAAACAGCACTTGATTATTCAGACCGAGACCACAAGACTGTCATTTTGTGAGTACCAAGCCCTTCCCTTGGTCTCCCACCCAACAAGTTTACCTTTTAAGCAAGCTCAGGCATTGCCTCCTCTGGGGTGGGTAGAATGTTGGGCTTGGTGCCTGGGCTTTGGAGTCAGACCAAAGTGTGCCTTCCAACTCTGCCTCTCACCAGCTCTGTAACCTTCATCCAGGTACTTATCCTCCTTAGCTGTCCCCTATTGAGGACAAGGCTAATAACAAGGCTTACTTCCCATCATGCTGTGAGGATTACGAGAGTTACTAAGCATAAAATGCAGTGCTAGCTACGTGGTGGGCACTTAGTAGACATCAGCCTTCATCATTCATGGCCTCCCTGTGCTCCTGTATCACACACCTTAGTCCAGGTGCTGATGGCCACTTTCCAGGCCCCTCAACTGTGAGTCCCAGGGAAGCTCTGCTAAGCCTTCGGGGGTGATGTGGCATAGCTGTAACTTGACCGGTTTAAAGTTTAGAATCAATTTGGGGAGAAGCCCAGGGAACTCACTGGCCCAGGAGGTGGTCTGTGTTCCCCTGCCCCAAGAACCACCAGTCTGGTCACCCAGACTTTTTTTTGGAAACTTTTTTTTTAATAGTTATTGAATGTTCTACAGCTTACAGTAAATATCATAGTTACAAATTCTTGGCTTCAATCTTTCAGAGTGATCACTATCTGATCTTCAAAACAAAACAAAATAAAAACCCAAAAGAATCCAAAACAACAAAACCAGATTTACACTTCATACACACAAGCGAGGCCATGGGGCTTTCCAATCTTTATACTCCAGGCTGTTTTGAAAACACCTATAAGTTCTTTGATCAAACTACTTGGAAGACACTGGTCAAAGGTTTATTATTTTAAATGTTTTTCCTTTTAAAATGTGAGTTCCAATAAAATTTAAAAATTAGATTCCAACCTGTAGATTAAAATGAATTAAAAAATACAAAATCATATACAACACTCTCACAGGGATGTTACATGCCATGAGAACACGTTTCTGTCATGTGATATGAAATGAATGCAGATGCTTTTTAGTCAGGAGATGGGGACAGGCCCTTGGGCCTTTAAAGGTTGTTAAAGACAACTCCGAGTTGCTAGAGGCCTGGTCTTAACTCCCCTTGGTAAGGAGAAGCTTGAGTCCTACCACAGATCCAGATAAACTGGTGGACCTGAGAAGGTGGTCTCTGGACAGTCTCGAGAACTCTTTCCAATTCTCAGGCTTGAAGAGAAAGGCTGGAGCCTGGAGATGCTGGTCTTGCTGGGTCAAGCTCAAAGATGATTTCACCCATTTGAATCCTGTGGGCTGGTACTTATCTGCAAAGCTGTTGTATCTGTTCTCTTCAGGAAAGAAAATACCCCTCTACCAGGAATGGAATGGGTAGAGGGCCTCAAACTGCCACAGCAACCAAGAGCTCTAGTTTCCCTTTCAGGCTTTGTGGCAGCCAGTCCTAACTCCTGTGTTTCTCATTTGGTCACTGGGCTAGACTCAACAGCATGCAAGATGAAAATACCCACTGAAGAAACTAAGGAGTGGGACCTGAGTCTGGCTCAGGCAAGGCTGGCTATGGAATGTTGAAGATGGCCTGCAGGAATTTTGAAGGCTGGACCCTGGAACCATGAAACTCAGAAATTAGAATTTCAGAAATTAGTTTTCTAGGAAAGGTAAAGGACAAATCCTGCAGCCAGTCTGGCATGCCCACAGGAGATTGCTCTCAGAGGCTCAGGTGTGGAATCTGATGTTAGCCTGGCAGGGTTTCTTCCACTGTGATCCTGCTTCTGGAGGTGGGTTGGGCCTGGAATCCCCTAGGGCTGTGCACCGGCATGCAACATGCTTCCTCCTTGCTCACTCCACTGCCTGACCTAACCCTTCCAGATTTCCAAGCTTGGCAGTTGGCTGGGGACAACGTACATATGCTATAGTGATGTGGTAGAATACAAGCTAGAAAAGCAGAGCTGCTATGTACTTTTAACTGCAATTGAGGAGAGATGCCATGGTGACATCTAAATGATTAATCTAGTCAGAATGTTGTAACCATGACCAAGAACCAAGCTTTCTAGGCCCTCCCTCTTTGGCGGGAGCAGAGCTGAAGAATCTGATATGCAGGTCTCCAGGCCTGGCTAAGCCAGTGCCTCACTGAGATTCTGGCCATCCTGTCTGCACAATGACACCAGAACTTGGTGACCAGGAGGCCTGCCCTACTTTAAGCCCGATGTGATTCATTTCTGAAGACCATTCAGAACAAAGCCAAGTCCCTCCAAAGGACCACCCCTAAACCTCTGGGAGTAAGCTACCTCAAACTTGGAACAATTTGGATGACCAGAGATAAGAGTTGGGATAAGGAGTAAGGACCGTGCACCCTCTAAGTCCTGGTCCTCACCCCTGGGGGGGACAGGCAGCTTATTCCTTCTTCATGCCTACCACTCAGACCCAGCAGGTGCCAGCAGAAAGAGCAGAGGATTTGAAGAATTCAAATCTTGACTCTTCCTCTTCTGAGCTGTGTGACCTTTGGCAAGTCTCTTAAGCTTTCTGAGACTTTTTTCCCATCTATAAAATGGGTGTTTTGGCAATGTCAAAGGACTTTGTACACAAAAAGCACTCTGGATAGGTGTGTCCTTGTTCAATGTTTAGGGAAGGGGATATCACTTCTGGGTCACTGCCAGGAGAGAAGAGCGGCAGCAACTGTCCTTTCTCATGGGATAGAAATTAAAATTTGCAAAATGTTGCAGATTGTTTCAGAGTCTCACCACTTGGGGGCACTCCAGCTTCCTAGGCCCAAGGATAATGAGAGGAAGGAGGCAGGAGTGAAGAAGGTTGGTAACTTGAACCACCTATACCCCTAACCCTGACCACCAAGCTGGTGGTACTGGGGAGGCAGTGGAGTGGGGAGAGGGGTTTGCATGTGGGTGCCAGCACTGCAGTTCACTGTTATGTTGGCACACCCCTTGTCCTCTCTGGCTTGCTGGCCTTCCTATAATGATAAGGCCCTTCCAGCCCTGACCTTCTGTCCAACTTGACCACTGGGCCACCCAGTACCTTTGGATGATGCCCAGCAGATACCTGTGAGCCTACCAGGTGTGCTCATCCTACCAGAAGCACACTGCTGCCCCTGCTCTCTTGGCTCAGTCCCTTTGCAATGATTCCCCAAGCTTGGCCAGGCTTGTGGATCTCCATCAAAGCAAGAGGGAGAGGCCAGCTGAACTGGGGCTCCGGTGCTCATACTGAAAAATAGGTGCTAGGCCTGGGCTCTTCCAGACCACAGCCTTTCTGCCCCTTGTTTATGCCTTGGGGCCTTGTCTTTGATCTTGAATTACATACTAGGATCAAGAGAGGGTGCAGAGCATAGATGTTTCAGTCAGCCTGGAGAGAAAGAGACAGCAGACAGACTGGGATTCATTCGAGTGGCTCTGCCACTTATGAGCAAGTCACTTTGCTTTTCTGAGTCTCAGTTTCCTCATGGATTAAATGGGAGAAATAATCTATTTCACAGGGTTATATCAGAGAATGGATGTGGAATCGCTTTGTGAACTGTAAGATACTAGATGTTAGTTTTTACTTACTGGTGTAGAAAGAACAAAAGTAACAAGGTCATTCCTAGGTCTCCTCTTTTTCCCCTGCTCTCTGTGGTTCTACTCTAGCCCATATGGAGGCAGCAGGGTTCAGGGAAGCCTGTCAGGATGCCAGCATTCTGCTCACTTTGGGCAAGTTCCTTCTAGAACCAGTATCCTTACTTGTCAGATGGGTGTAGTAACTGACCCTGTTCTCTCTCTTCCTCTCCCTCTCGACTAGTAAATTAAAGGCTGGGAAGTGTTCTGAAATCTACAAAGCACCTAACAAATGCGAAGGTTTCCTATTATTATTTTGGCATTTTCCAAACATGTATGACAATCTAAAACAACTTTCACCCATCCTTACAAAACCAGAGAGGAGGAGGTATTTGCAAAAAATGGATTAACACTGGAAAACTTTGTTGTTTTAACATAAATTTCTTCAGCACCCCAGAACAGACCATTTAGAATAGCTAGGCTTCTCCTTACTGGTACTACAAGTCCCTGGAAGACCAAAAAGGTGGGCCCACCCAACTCCTGGCTCTGGGTTAAGGATGCTGATGGGCTTTGCCCTCCTGGGAATAGCCAGACAGCCTCTGAGGTCCTTCTGGCCCAAGGGTTCCTGATTTTTTTTCCTCCTTTAGGGAGACATGGGAGGTAGGGGTAGGTCCAAGTTTGCATGAATTTAAAATGAAGAGAGTTATTAAAAGTCCCAAATGTTATCAATGATCCAATTTTGTACAGTAAAATGTTCCAACCCCCACTAGAGGGGCTGCTGGCCCAGCCAAGTGCTGGGTGGAGGGGGACAGTGCCGGACAGCCAAGCTCTTGGCTGACACTAGCAGAACCTCCTGACCCAGGGAACACTTTTCTCCCAGGAGATTCCATGTCTCCTGGGTCCCATCCATACCCTTCTCTCAAGACGAGGGGCTACTGTCCTAAAAGCACAGACTGCTTTTTGGCCAGCCCACCTGCTCCTCCTAGGGCTGGAATCAGGTATAGGATGAAATTTCCAGGTGTCTTCACAGAATTTCCAAATGCTACTTTTTCATTTGCAATTTCTGTTCCTGCCATCTGCCCCCATGTGACCTCTGCCCAGTCTTCAACCCCTGCCTTTGAAGTCCGGGAGGAAAAGAGCAGAAACAAAAGCCCAGATACTGTCCCAGAGCTCACCAGGTATGGGCACTGCTGACTTAATTTTTACAAAACCAAGCCAATCCGTCCCTAGGCAAATTTTTGTGGGCAACATGCCCCTAGGTAGGAAGGCTGCATTTAATGCTAATTTATTGTGAGGTCTAAGGAAGTCCTTTCTTCTTCTCTGGGCCTCAGCTTCCTCGTCTGTCAAATAGGGGAATGGATGAGATGATTGCTAAGGTCCCTTCAGTTCCATGAGTCTATGAAATGTTTATTGCTATTGCTTTTCCTTCACTATACTGACCTTCAGAGCCACCAGCACCCACCTGGAATGTGGTTCCTTCACTTTGGCTGTGAATGGCAAAAGGTAACCAAGAGCCTGGCCTGCCTGCCAGTCCCAGGGACAGATGGGTGAGCCCTGGCACTGGGAAGAGCAGAGAGAAAGGAGAGAAATGCCATAGGTTCTCACTCTAATCAGGAGGAAGCTCCTCGTCAGAGTGGGTCCACGAAGGCTCAGAGGCCAAGATCTAGATTACACAGGGCACCTGTCCTTCCAAGGCTTTGGGAGGCTGGGATCTCACCACCATGCAGCTGCTTGGCAGGTCTGAGGTCAAAATCACCTTCTGAGGAAGTGCCAGGTCAGTTTACATTACTGTGCAAATCAGAAGGTCTAGGCCCAGACAATTTGGCCAGAGACCTTAGAAACCAAAGCCAGCAGGCGAGCGCCTCTCTCCCTCTTCCCTCCCATAGTGCTTTCCCCCGCAACCCCACCCCACCCAAGTTCTCCCAAAGAATGAATCTGGTTTCCCCAGGTTCCTACCCGGGGTATTAAGCTGCTATGAACACTCCTACCTAATCAGGTGGTTTTGTTCTTGGTCTGTTGCGATGGTTCTCAGAAGACATTTCATTTGTGTCAGGACATGGTAATGTCCTAAACTAATCTTGCTTGAGAAAAATAAAAGAAACAATCCCCCAGAGATGTGGCCTACTGAACAGCTCTGAGTTCCCACCCTGGACCCGAGAGCCACAGCTATTATGCTCTTTAAAGGAAATCATGCCTTCAGCTGAACCACTGCAATAAACCCCACTCTCTACCTGCCACTAGACAGGATCATCGGGGACTGGATGCTTGAGGAAGGAAAGATCAGAGAGGATGTGCCTGGTCATACAGGAGGAGGCGGGTAGAGCCGGAAGGGCAGTGGCTAAGAAGGGGAAAGTGGGGAGAGGCAGGAGATTAGAAAAAGCAGCTTTTACAAAAACCAAAAATAAAAATCAAAACCGTTAAAGATGCATAAAGTGACCCTTGCACTTCCGTTGTCTCTTCTTGCAAATAGAGGTGGTGCTGCTAGGGAACTGCTCCAGCACCTGTGTAAGACTTGAGTAGTTGCATACAATGTGACTCCAGATCTGGGGGAGGAAGAGGGAAGCCATTAGTGATATTCTCAAGGCCTCTTCAGGGAAGCCACTGGACGCCCTCCCCTCAACTTGGGAGCCCTCTGTGCCTTCCCAGTGAAGCTGCCTGCTTCCTGTCCAGTGCCAAGAGCTCCTGGAGGAGGTGGAGGGCAGGGGAGCTGAGGAGGTAGGGCAAAGGATTTCAAAGTGATATCCCAGGAGCCCTGTGGTTCACTGGCACTGCCTCAGGAGCTGCCAAGGTCTCCACCTGGTCTCAATCAGAGCCAAAGTCTGATTGAAGTAAGATTTATTTGAAGAATAAGGCTCACAGTTAAAAGTATGAAGACTGTACAATAAAGAGCATAGAATTTAGTACTAGAAGACTGGAGTTCAAGTCCCAGTTTAATTTTTACTGGTTAAGTGATGCTGAACTATACGTATTTATCTGTACAATAGAACTAACGATCCTTATTTCACAGAGCTATAAGGATTATGTGATAACGTGTAAAGTATCTAGAATATATGTAAAGTGACAGCTATTATTAAGAGTGATATTACTGAAGCTGAAGCAGGAAAGCAACTGGTAACTGCCCTGCTGACACCTGTGCTTCAGACCAAATCAGCGGCTTTGAAGCAGTTCCGGTATTTAGTCACCCTCCTGCCTCTCCCACCCTGGGCCCCACTCACTTGGATGGGCTGCAGGCTTTACCAGTGCGGGGGCACATAGCTGTACGCAGGGGTCCCTTGGGCCCTGTATGTTGGCATGGAAACAGGGTGTGCCCCAATTGCGGTGTGCTGGGGTGCAGTCAGCAGGGTACCTGAGCATCCAGAGAGAAAAGTAAAGCTGATGTGAGGCCATCCGAGATGAAAAGAATGAAGCTTTAGCTTTCATGCGGCTGCTCCTGGCCTGGGGCCCTGCCTCCCTGCCTGCTCATAAACCAGGGCGGCCCCTCCCCACCCTGCCAGGTTTCATCTCCTTAGGGAAAGTTTTTCTGATGCTCAAGGACACTCTTCTCCAGTGGCCTCATTTCACTCTTCTATGTATGCTCCTCTCACTGCAAACATCATAGTGAGCAGTAACTTCGTTCATGTGGCTGTGTCCCACCAACCTAGTTCTAAGGGTCTGATCTATTGGCAACTGGTCTCCAAGACCTGGACAACGAGGTTGGCATATTCAATAGCTCGCTGTGGATATTCATTAGCTCCCTGACCTGGGGAATGAGAGGTCTTGACAACTCCTTACATTAGGGGCAGAATAAAATCCCAAACTCCCACCCACTTGACCCCTTGGTATGCAATTCTCTCAAAAGGTGACCCAGCTGAGCCTTTAAATATTAGGATCCAAGGCTCATAGCCCTTTTGCTTTCTCATGCTCTTCTTTGCAATATCAACTCGTTTAACAATGTCCCTAAACCCGCTCTTCTTCTGGTGTCTCTCCCACCCGCTTCTGCAAGGTTCCTGAGGGGCAGGGCTCTGGTTTCATTTTTGGAGTAAGCCGGAAATGGAGAAGGGTCGTTCTGGACTCCTCCTTCTTCCCATGCCTTACATTATTGAACAGGTACCGTGCCCTCCTTTCTGGAACCCTGTTGCTACCAGAGTTCTAGCGTCACCATGACTCCTCTAAACTCCAGCCTTCCCACTGACATACTTGCTTCCAGCCTCTCCCCTTCTAATCCAGCCTCCACCTTGCAGCCAAAGAGAATGTTTAAACCAAACCCCATCTCTCTGCTGTCTGAACCCCTTTGCTAGCTCACTGTTGCCTAAAGATAATCTCTTTACCACTTGGTCTTTGCCGACTACTCCAGCCACCCTTCCAACTTCATACCCGTTTTCTAAGTGCCTTGGACCATTTCCGTCCTATGAACATGTGATATTCTTGCCTCCTGGACTGCCCTTCCCTGTTTCATCTCTCTGGTTAGCCTCTGTTCACCGTTTAAGGCCCAGCTCCATATGCCCTCCTTAGTGAAATTTTCCTCAACCCTGCAGTCAAATTTAGAAGGTCCTTCCTCTGGGTTCCCAGAACCCCTAGACACAGGATTTCTCATGCTGTGCTACAGTCGATTCCATAACTGTGTTCTCCACTCTGTCATGAGTTCCTGGAGGAGCGGGATGGACACTGATACAGTGGTTGCCCTCACCTGCAGACATTGCCATGGTGGTGCCGGCCACCATGCCCATGGCCACGCCGTTGGTCCTGGGGGCAGCAACAGGTGCCGGGTAGATAGCAGAGGGAATGCTGTTGGGCTGGACGACCGTGGTGTGGTGGATGACGTGGGGCTGCGCAGCGTATACCGGCTGTGTGTAGTAGGCTCCCTGGGGGAAGAGAGGCTGAGGTCACACAGGCTTTTAGAGAGGTGGGGCGAAATGTGGGGAGGGGAGGGGAGCTTGCTCTTCCAGACCCTAAGGCAGTGATTTTCAACTTTTTTGGCACCAGGGACTGGTGCTCCTGTAATAATCTAATGCTCGATGATCTGAGGTGGAGCTGAGGTGGTGATGCTAGCGCTGGGGAGCAGCTGCAAATACAGATGAAGCTTCGCTTACTCACCCGCTGCTCACCTCTGGCTGTGCAGCCCAGTTCCTAACAGTAACAGTCCGAGGCCCAGGGGCTGGAGTCAGAAAAGCACTGGCCCAGGGACAGAGGGTCTGCGCCCCAGCCAGGGCTCTGCTTCTTACTATGTGACTATGGAGAGTTCAATGCTGGGCTCAGCTTCTGCTCTGAAAAATAACACTCTAAACTTGTCCTGCCTTGCTCCTAAGGCTGCTTGCACGATTTAATGGGATAATAGCTGTACTCCCTCAACAATGATTTTAGCATTTAAAAATGTATTTTATGGTTTGGTCCTAGGTTTCGGCACCAAAAAAAAATGTGTGTGTATATTTTATTGCAATGTGCTCTATAAGCTGCCTAAAATGTAAAGGTAGGAACCACAATGAATGAATGAACGATGTGAGTGGGGGTGGTGAACTCCAGAGCACTGTGCACATACACATAAAGGAGTAATAGTGGGAGTGTCAAACCGGTGTGAATGCTGCCACTTTACATATTGGGAAAATGCCATAAATGCAGAGCATTTCCCTAGATGTCTCTTACTACCTATTTCCCTTTAGGAAAATAGGTTGAGAATGGAGACAATGGTCTGAGAGAATTTCTCACTGCCTGGATCACGTGGCTGCTTCCTGATGTTTGCGGGGAGCAAACAAGGGCCCCTGGATCACTTTAATCCAAAGCTTCTCAAACGCTTCTACTAAATAATGACAAGAGACTCAGAATGTGAGTTTGTAATCCCAAAGGTCCGACAGCATAGTGCAAAGCAGTCTACCATAAACAAGAAAAATTTCTCAAGTCTGTTGTTTTATCTTTTAAGTTTCACATTCTACTCTGTAATATAGCTGTTTTTTAAATTTAAAAAGTGTTCTCTTCATTATTTAAACCTCATATAGAACTGTCACTCCAGAAAAATGTGCCATGTGTATGCTGAAGCCTCATATAATCACTACCATATAGCCAGCCCCTCAGACTGCACACATTCTCTACCTGAAGGAGCCCAGATGGGGGCACTAATGCACAGAGAGAGAGAATACCTTGCCCAAGGTCATACAGGAAACTGGTGGCAGAGGCTGGGCACTTATCTCCTCCCCACTCAAGCTTGCAAGACTTTATCTTTAAGGGAAGGTCAATGTTGGGGAGAGAGGAGATGCTTAAGACAGAAGGGGTCTCATTCTGACTCAACCAATAGCTCCCTATGTGACCTTGAACAAGTCACTCCCCTCTCTGGGTCTCAGCTTCCACACTTATATAAAAAGGAGTTGAGCTAGATGATCTCCAAGGGCCCATGCCCCCCTGACATTCTGGACTCAGTTAACCTAAGTGCCCTCATGTGTCACCCCTACCCCCACCCCACCTTCAGGAGCTTAGGTGGAGTGAGGGACTGCAGAGATATTGTTTCAATGACGCAACAGTGACAGCTGGCCAAAGCCATGAACTCTCCTTCCTTCTCTCTCTTACGCACACCCACCCCACACAGGCTGGTGGCTCCTTTACCTGCAGAAGAGGTGGGCCCAAGCTTCCACATGTACCTACCTGGGCATACAGATTCTGCTGGGGGTAGGCACTTCTGATTGGATACATGGCCGTCTGATAGGGGTTGGGTGATGGGGAGTAGGGGGGTGGAGCAGTATTACTCTGGGTCGGTGGGACCTTGTATGGTGTCCCCGCAGTATATCCTGTACCAAGGCAATAAGAGAGACTTCCAATTAGTTGGCAGAACAGCATCACTGGAAGGCAGCAGGCTCCAGTCACGACTCCCCAGACAAGGATAGGCTGAATCCAGGCTAGAAACACAGATGAGAACAGACAGAGAACAGGGCTCCGCCCAGAGAGCCCTGGCCCCAGAGGCAGCTCCCTCAGTCCTGGTGCACAGGGCTGCATGTGTGATTCTGGCACCTTTTATTTCTCTGAGTCTCGAGGCTCTCATCTATAAAATAATAGATGGATCCAGATGGAATTGCTTAAGGAACCCTTGCAGCTCAGACAGTCTGTGATTCTGAGCTACGTGCTGTGAGAGGCAGGGGCGCACAGATGGGAGACCCTTGGCTCACTTGCTCTTTGTTGCACTATCTTCTTGTTTTTCTGTCTCCTCCTCAGTACCTAGAATATTTTCTGCTGTTCTATCTTTCTGTCTTGCTTTCCCCCTTACTCTGTATTTCTGTTTTTCCCTTGTTTTTCCTTTTTGGACTTCCCTTCCTCATGTTCCTCTTCCTCCCTGCCAAGTTTTAAGGTGAAAACTCCAAAAACTCCATATAAAACACCATGCAGAGATCCTCATCTTCTGAGATGCTGAAAAACTTTGCTCTACAGAGCTGGCTTTCCCTCCCCTCCTAGGGTTTGGGGCAGGGCCACCTCTGCCTGAGGGCCTGAAGTCAGGGATATACACCTGGAACCCAGGCCATGTAGGTACCTCAGCAGGGTGAACAAAAGCTGGGGGTAAGGCTGAGAAGTCAGTCCCCAAGAATCTCACAATCGGCCATTCCAACAAATTGTGCTGCTTTTGAATCTTCTGGAAAAGAGAGTCAGATCCTATGTTTACAGGAAAAACTTAAAACTTGAATGATGGGAACAAGAACCACAAAATGAATGATTCTATGGGACTTAAGGATCTATATAAGGGTTTCCTGGGGCTCAGAAAGGCCAAGTCTTTATAGGAACTTCTCCTTTCTAAGTTAAAGACACAGTGCCTTGGGGACTTTGGCTTTGGAACCCCAATGGGTGTTGCTGGGGATTCTTTCTCTGGTCCCCATCTTGACTTAGTCTGGCCAAAACATCAATGAACTTCTCGGGGCCTCAGGTCTTTCGCCTACAAGATGCTCACCAAGAACCTTTTCAGCAACATGGTGCTGTTTCTGCAAGAAGGGACTAGGAGGCAGACTGGAAAGGGTGCTTTATTGGAAGAGAAGAGATCTAGGCTTCAGTCTGGGCTTTCCCCCCAATTTGCTGTGGCTATTGCCAAGTCTCTGGGCCTTAGTTTCTTATTTTGTTAAATCAGAAAGTTAAAAATGAAGAGCTTTTCATGAACTAAAATCCCATTGTCCTAAAGATCCTGGGTCTCTTCTATCCTAACCCCAAGTAGAAATAAGTTGCCATATTGCCACAAATCTCTTAGTTCCCATTGCAGCTCTGGCTTGGTGCCACGTCCTTGATGAGTTAGTAGGATATGTGAGTTGCCACAAAGGCACAACAAAAGGTGTCCTGTCCTCGCCTTAGAATCATGTCATTTATCCACCTGCATATCCTCAGTATGTTCCATGAGAAACTAATTTTGTGGTCAAAAACACTTGGGAAATAAGTAGCAATGAAGATGGAGTGGAAATAAAATAGGGAAGGTAGCACTGATAAGAACTAGAAACTAATTGGAAGGGAGGGTACGAATCAGTTGAGGGAGAAGTCTAGAGCAGATTCCTCCAAATTTCTAGTGGAGTTAATCATGAGAGGTGGTCATAGGAGGAGAAGCAGATACCGTGAGGGAAGACAAGGAGTCTAGGTTTGCAGACATCTAGAAGGAGCCATCTGAGGGGCTCTTTACCTTAGAGACACAGTTTACTTATCTGTAAAACAAAGGTTCTCAAGATAGGTACATGCCAAGATTACAAAAAGGACTATCATTCTGAGGGAGCTTAATCATTGTTTTATAAAAGAAAAGAAAGGTGGCAATGTAAAATAGAGATAAATGTTTGTTTTTTATCCTATGACACTGAGAAGTTTTAAAATAAAAGGATGAACTGTGAATCTCTAAGATAGGGATATGCGGACTTCTCAAATTTATTTTACCACAGCATCTTTTATTCATACTATTAATATTTAAAATAGGCAAACTGCAGTTTTTGTAACAGCAGCTTTTTTGGTAAAGTTTTACTGTAATACAGCTAATACATATTGACTATGGTTGCTTTCCTGCTACAATGGTCGTTATAACAGAGACCACATGGCCTGAAAAGCCTAAAATATTTACTATCTTGCTGACTCCTGAATTAAAGGGATAACACAAGGTATAGGGAGTTCTGTGAGAGTGGAGAGCATCCCTTTTCTGTGCAGCAGGGCAGGATACTCTGAATCCTAAGATGCCCTCTCTAAAAGCTATCCAGCACAAAGCAGTGCTTACAAATAGTCTGGAGCCAGACTGATTACCTGGGTTGAAACCCCAGCCCTACTACTTAATAGCTATAGAATACATCAGTCTCATCTGTAAAATGGAGATAATAATAGTACCTACTTCATAGGGTTACTGTGATGAATACATTAATAAGTGCAAAGCCCTTAGAATAGTGCCTAACAAATTAAAAATACTTCATAAAGGTTAGCTATTATTCTCTTTCACTGTATAGATAGTAAGCTTCCTGTCCTGGGGGTATTATAAGCAGACACTGGTCTGAAATATAGTAGACAGGAGGTTAAACTATGAACTTACACACTGTGATCCAACTTGAAACACAGACTCTAGAATTCTAAGATTTTAAGATTTTACAGTTTAAAATGCCATGATTTTGTGATTCTTTAAAGTTAATAAGCCAACAATGCTGGTGACTTTCTTATATGCTCCCTGAGAATGTGCAATGGAATTTTTATCCCCTGCGGAAGCCTGTACTACTCCCTCTATGCCACAAGGACAATAATCTCACAAAGTGTTGAGATCATCCCTGTGAGGAAAATCAAAAGGCTCCAAGAGACTGCAGTAGAATTTGGTTTCCATATCTAAGAATAACCTTGTCTGAGAATGTTTCCCTTTCTTCATGTTATGAAATGAAGATGCACACATACTCAGAATACAAATCAGTAGCCGAAACACCCTTTGCAAGAAAAAATGATAATGCTGCAGAAGAAGGCCTTGCTTGTCTGTCCAGATAATCTGAGAAGGGAGAAGTAGAAATGCAAAGCTAGAAGAGATCTTAGATATCATTAGGACCAACACAAACATCTCAGAGAAGAGATGATAAGCGGATGATGAGAGAAAAAGCCACTGCTCATGAGGACTCAGGACTCAGTGCTCCTTCCTCTGCCTACAGTGGTTCTCAAGGTCACCATTTATGTCAGAAGGCTGTAGAAACTGCCCTGGGCCCTATCCTGGGCCCTGTCAGTGAGTTGGGTCAATTCTTCTCTCAAGAAATACCCTCATTCAGACTAGATAATGTCAGAGGGACCTTTCTAATGCTGATTCTAAGTTTCTGAGTAGTTCAATGAAACTTGTGAGAAAATCATTGCCAAGGACTTTCTACCTCTGACTGGTGGGCCTGTTCATACCCTTGAGGATCACTGGAAAATGCCCTGGCCTGCAGCCTGGGCTACCTTGAGCATCATAAAATTCGATGTCCTTATTTTGTGCATCTAAGTGAAAGAAGTTGTTGGACTTGATGCAAAAAACACCTGCTCCCCATCCCCCCCCAAAAACATTCATTTTGCTCAAATGAACTGAGACACAACTCCCTCATGGGAGGCCTGACTCTCCTTAAGGTAGTTCTACCTAAGTCTGAAGGTCACAGAGTTAGGTCTTTGGAATGCTATGCCTGTAAGGACATTAGAGACTTATATTCAACCCTCTATTTCAGATGAAAAAACTGGAGCCCAGAAGAAAAGAGACTTCCCAAAACTGCACAGCGAATCAATGCAGAGCTGGACTCAGAGTTCAGGGCTTACCATCCCCTGGGCAGAGCTCCTTTCTGAGTTATAGGTCTCTGCAGTCCAATCTTGGGTATTTGGTATATTAGCCTTTGCATAATCGTTTCACTAAAGGCAATATCATGAGAGAAAAAAGGAATTTCATCACTAAAAATCCTAGCTCTGCCTTATGAAAGAGGCTTTGTTTATTGACGCCTTGTTCTTTCTCTCAGGTTCCTAACCGTAATTTTAGGCTCTATCAAACAGGGTAATAGAGTGTGTACATTAGCAAGGTAAAACCTTTTCAGTCCTCTCTTGGAGCTCTATGCACTGTCGTAAATCTTTCCAGTTGTAGAGCCCCTACACATTCAGAGGCATTGATCCTCACATCAAGGATGCCTTTTAGACTAATCGGTTTATTGACCATAAGATTTATACGTCTGGACAAGGCTCTATGTCCGATTCTAGCTTTGACCCCCAAGTCTCCTTGTTGGTAGCTCAAGAGAGTGCTGAATAAATAGGAGAGAGACCTAATTACAAACAGGCTTAGTAAGGGTTGGTGAAGTTGAATGGAATTTGCCAAATTGCCCTGAATTTCCTGTGACATTAGAAGCCACAAAATCTGTGTGCTGGGAGGAACCCTGGAGAGTGTGGGAGGGTCAGTCAATCCTCATTTCTATTTAAAAATTGCACAAGTTCATGCATTACTTGCTTAAAAGAGGTGGGGGATATTTTGGTCATCCTTTCCAGGGACTGTGATAACCTGTGAGAGGGCAGTAGAGTATAGTTACTGGACATTTAGATGGGATTGCAGGAAGATTTAAACATAGTAGAAGGTAAGGCCTTCTAACACTCAAAACTTTTTCACTGTAGAAAGGGATGCCTCCGGAAGGAATGAGTACGCCATACCTGGAGAGGTGTGAGCAAAGGCTAGTGGACCTCAGGGCAGCTAGAGAGGAGGTTCCTTCCCAGAGTGGAGGATATTCAGTACCCAGCAACAACGTAACAGAATCAGGAGTCTAATAGCTAGAGAGAACCTTCAGTTGGAAAAACCAAGGTCCAAATTCTGGTCATGAGTTATCCAAGGTTACACAGAATCTAAAATCCAAACTCTTTTGGTCTTCTATACCAGGTTTCTTTTTGCTGCACTATAGTAGGTGTGTCTATATGCATCTACATCTATATATGTAGATAGAAGGGAGAATATGTATGTATATGCCCATTTACATATATAATGCTATAGATATCTGGAAAAACTCCCTACTGCTGCCATCCCTCTCTTAAAGAGAACAATTACTCTCATGAAAAAAAGACAATAGTAACTTAATCTGGGTGATAACTTTTACTAGTTGGATGGCAATGAATATATTACCTTTCTGAGCCTCAGATTTCCAACTGGAATAAAAATCCACCCAAATAACAGAACTACAGTACAGATTAAATGAGAAGGTGATTATGAAAGCATATTCTCTAAAAGTTGAGAGTTATGTTGTATATCAACATAAGCTGAGGTTGACATCTAGGGGCTATAACACTGAGTATTTTAAAGAAAAACATACAATGTATTCTTCTAATCTACTTAACAGATTAATAATTCGCTGAATCACAGACTATAGGACCTAGTCTGCGACATCCCTTTGAGAGCTTGTCCAGCCCCTGCTGGAACACCTTAAGAGATAGGCACTTTCCACAACCAAAGCCAGCCATTCCTCTTTTGGACAGCTCCAACGAGGCACAAAGTTTTCACTTATTCAGAGTCGAAATGCTACTTGGTAATTTCTAAACATTGGTCCTCATTTTACCCAGTTGAGCCATTTTGTATTAAAAATCAGACGTGAAGGTGAAACCAACAGTCACCCAACTGAGCCTAAGGATGACTGACCAATGTGACTGGCCTGATGGTTTCCGTCCTCCCTGAGACTCCATGTACATATTTTGGTTCCACAGTGTAGCTTCCACTAGGGCACTATTACTTACACAGGGGGCACGCTGCCGCCCAGTGGATATTTAGCAAAAACTAGACATTTCTGATTGTTATAATGAGGTTTGCTACTGCATCCAGTGGGCAGAGGCCGGGGTGCTGCTAAGCATCCTACAATGCACAGGACAACTCCCCACAACAAAGAATTATCTGATCCAGATGTCCATAGTGTGAAGTCAAACCCTGTGCCAATCGAAGGAGCCCTCTCTATCCAAAGGTCCACTGGCAGGCATCCAAATGTTCCCTCTGTCCCCTTTCCTTTGAAATGTAGTAAGTCCTTCCCTCATCGAACTTGTTAGCCAGGCGAGTACTTCCTTCTCCCTCCCTCACTGCTCTGTGTCTCCCCAAAGGTGGCTGCATGATCAAAGAGGATGACCTTCCTGTACGAGGAGGGCCAATTTTTTGTGTGGGTAGGAGAACCTCTTAAAATAGTGTCTTATAAATGTCAGTTCCCTTTCCTTTCTTACTAAGAGAAAAATCAGTCCCAACCAAGGGGAACAAGGAAAGGAGGAGACAGGCTGTATTTACTGAAAGCCGCAGAGGATGCTTGGTAAGTTCGGTTCTCGGTCCCGGTGTCCACTGGGAGGTGGAAGGTGCCTTCAGTGCCACAGGAGGATGAGTTCTGTGGCCAGGCCTGTTTCATCAGCAGAGTTGCTTAAGGGAAGACACAAGAATGGCATTAGGCAGAAATAAGAAGCGGCACCACCAATTACAGACACAAAGCAAGGGTCTTGAGCTAGACGGAAACATATAACCCAAGTGAATCTGTTCAGACACACAGGATGGTTCAGCCTTTCTGAGATGGGTGAGTGGTTGAGAGGACGGCTGAAGTGAGCTTCTAAAGGATTTAAAATTGAGAAAATCTAAACTTATACTAATTAGGAGAGTCATGATTTTCTACCACTAAAACCACGAAGATGCCTATGAATACTGCCTCCTGCTGCATGACATTCTGGTCTAAGGCTCTGGAATACTCCTTAGCCGCTTTCTCATGAATGTGTAACAACTTGGAGCCTTTGACTATACTGGGCCAGGATCAACTGAGTACTCTTTTTTTTTCTTTTACACCTGAAATCTCATCCGGAGGTGTATTTAATAAGCTGCTTTCAAAGACAGACCCAAAAGTAATTACCACATAACATGAACCTTGCTGGACTGCCATCTCTTCTAAAAGGATAGAACTCTGGCAGCTTAGAAGGCACAGGCTTGCCAGTGGGGCACTCCCTGCTAACTCCTCCTGTAGACATACCTGGGGCCTGACAGACAAACCTTGCATACCCTTTATATCTCCTGCTGAGGTGCTACTGGTGCCTCACTTGAGATATCTCCTCATGAACTACAGATGATCTTTCAGGCCATTAAGAAAGTAAATGTCAAACTTGGGGTAGGTGTGAAATAGAGATGAGGCCCAGTTTGAAAGAAATCTAGAGACACGTCCCAGGCTGACTCAAAGCTCAGCTTGAAAAATGTGGAAGGATGATGCTTCCTATGTTCTAAAAGTGGGGAATAACTCAAAAAACTTACCTTCATGGTATCCTGTGGGGAAGGAGAGAGGAAATAGGGTTTCAAAGGGGGGAAATGCCTAACATTTTAGATATTTCCCTTGATATACTTTCAAACACTAAAGAAAAACATTCTTGACCCAAATTGCTGGACCCAAATTAGGGCAAAAAGACTGATTTTAGTATCTTTTCTGTTCAAATAAGGTCTTGGGAGTCATGGATATGGGTGTTTTAAAGTATATTAGGAGGTGGAGCTGCACTGGCAACAGTCCAATACACCTGAAACAAGGGGCCGAGGTAAGACCGGTAGCATGAAAGGAAAATGTCTATATACTCTAATTCCACCAGAACAAGGGTAGTCCACCTCCAGAGAGATCCCATACCCACTGCTTGTCTGAGTTAACAGGTAATGCTTCCAGTTCCTTCAGTCATGAAGGTACTGGGCCCAGAGAAGGAGGTCAAGGACTTTGCTCTTTTTACTGATCCAAGGCTAGAAGTGTAGCCATTCTGGGCTGACCCTGCACTTGAGTTAATGGCCCGCAATATATACAGCAGATGCTGAAAAATGAGAAGGAAATCATGGGCAGGGAAGTGACACTAAAAGGAGAATTCTGGCAGAAGAAATGGAGACCCAGCAGAATTCCATGCAGAGTCCAGGGCCTTTGCTGGACATTAAGACATGACTCTGTAGACAATGCAGGAAAAGGGCAGTCAGTTTCAAACAATTTTCTTAGGTTTCTTTTTCCAGGATGGAGGAGTGAGAGGGGGTTGGAGATTAATAAAAGATCCAATTAGTGTTGAAAAATCTTATCAAGATATCTCCAATTTAAAACCTTCCACTCCATGTGGCCAGAGAGCCCTGGCCACCCAAAACAACTCCCTAAAGGTGAAACATGTAGCTCTGAGAAGTCAGAGCAAGTCCATGCCCTCAAGACCCCACAGGGACTCCACCAGGAACAGGAGGCCTAAATTTAGCTGTGGAGAATTTGGAGGTCCAGATCCAGTCGTTTCCCGAAGTGGTGCATAATTTACCATAATTTTCATCATAAGCCAAAGTCTGACATAAGCCTGAAGGACTGTGTGATAAAGTAAATAAAAATTAACCAGAAAGTGACTGAGGCCTACACTGTACTCAGCACTGAGGGGAGCGCCACGGTGGACAAGAACACACGTGGGTCATGGTCACCGCACACAAGGTACTCATGGTCTAGCTGGAGATGCAACACAGCCACACGCTAACCAGAGAGTGAACAAGACAGCATTACACAGAGTAAAATAACGTTCCAAATTAACCAGGAAAGAAGCAAGTGCGACTGTGCCTTTTATTATGTATTTCCCAAGTGATCAAGTGAACTAAACTATATATGTTCCTGAAGAAGTATTTTCCTCCGATAACAGTATTTAAAAAAAAAAAAAATCAAAATCGGTATTTTCTATATTTCTTTGGATATTTAAATACTTAATAATTTAAACAACTGGATAAATAAGAAGAATAAAAACAAAAAACAAATATTAGCTGTCAATTTGATTTTTTCATTAGTTAGTTGTACCATATGATCTTCCTCCTCCACGTACAATTCTAAAGTAATTCATTCTGTTGGTAGTAGTGATTCGGAGCTTACCACTATGGATGAAGACAATTCAACTGAAGATTTCAGAGACATGGTAACAGAGTAGGCTGCTCCGACCGGCATGTTTGGTCTTGGGTACCATGAAACATACCAACTCCTAGATATTTCTATATTTTGAACTGGGTGGTAATTAAATACAAGTGTATACATATGTCAAATATTACTGAGATGTACACTTGAGACTACCGCATTTCATGTGTACAGTATATGTGTTACTCCTCAATTTAAAAAGAAAAGAGAGAGACAGAGAGAGAACCCTTGGCAGTGAAGGGCCATGGCCCAGTCACAGCATGCTGCCCACATCCAGGTGCTGGGTTGTTCACTTCCCCAGATACGGGGCCCTCACGCCCTTTGACACTTGAACAGTCCGTTAAGCACACTTACAAGGAGGAGAGGCAGCAAGGGACCATCATCCTGAACAATGCAGTAAGTCAGAAAATCTGAATTCTAGCCTGGGCTGTGCCACTTATTAATTGTGAGACCTTGGGCAAGTCACATGACCTTTCTAAACTTCAGTTTTGTTGTTTCATAAATGGCAATAATAATCAGTCCCTGATTGCATCATAGTATTGGTATGAGGATCAAAAATAAAGTGTCATCCCATCTTACAGATATGTAATCTTGGTATCTGTCCATTCTTCTATCCCCACAGTTATGGACAGCTCTAATTTAAACTCTCATCATCTCTCACCTGAACTATTACTGCTCTGTTTCGAAACCCACCAAATTTAACCTCCAAGTTGAGTGATATTTCTAAGACTTACTCCTAATCAGAAAACCTTTCTTAAAAACATTCCATGGTTGTTCACTGCCTATAAGGCTGAAATGAAGGATGAACATTTTGTGTGGCATTCAAGGTCCTTCATAATCTAGCCCTATGATCTCTCTAGACTCTTTCTTTATTTTCACTCTCCAACCTTGTATACTGCCAAACAAAACTGTTCATCATTCCCAGAATACATCAAGAAACACTCTATCTCTGTATTTTTGCTCACAATGCTCACTCTTTCTGGCATGTCTTTCCCCGAATGCCACCTGGTAAATATTTATTAATCCATCAATCATGAGCTGAAGACTCATCTCTACTATGAAGTCTTTTCTTTTCCCCTATCTCTTGACCACAGCCCCATCAAGGATCCCATATGGTTCACTATCCCCGTCCCTGTGATTCACAGAAGCCCCCATACTTGCTGGCTTCTCTGTCTTCCCCACTAAACTGTGAGCTCCTTGAGAACAGAGACTTTGTCTTACTGGTCTTTGTATCTTCAAAGGGCCAGCTCAGTAAGGCCTGGCACAGAACTGTGAATGCTATAATTGGAGGGGTAAGGATGCATGAGAGCTTCTCCTACTTTTTATGGAGACCTCCGTCCGAGTTCATATATCCTGAGGCAAATAAAAAATTACCGCCCCCCCCTTGCCAAATGATATAAGAAACAAGTCTGTGACTAGAAAAATTCAAACAATAAAAGTATAAGAGAATATAGGCTGTTAGCATTTAAAGGGACCTCAGAGATCACCTGGATTAAAACACATTATCTATGGCCTGGAGACATAAGCAAATTGCCCAAGATCTCGCATCCCACAGCAGTGGCAAGGAGAAATTTTCACAGCTCATCTCCTGAAAGATGTGCCACACACAAATTCAATAGCGAACATCCAAATAATTCAAGGGTAGAAGCTGAAAAGGTGTATAGAAATTTTACAAAAAATTGTCCTGAGCAGCCCAGGTGAGGGTAGTAAAGGAGCAAGTCTCTCCCATGGTCCCTTCCTGTCTATGACAAAAAGGACCTAGTCAAGTTATACTGCTGGGACCCTCACAGGTGCCCATTAGTTCCCGTGGTGCCTTGGGCCTGGAGTCCACACTGCCCAGAGAACTTAGCTCTGGTCCCTGGCTCATTTAGCACATTTGGCCCTCACCTTTCTCCATCCAGGAAAATGTTCTGAAAATGATTCAGAGCTCAAGATTTGGGCTAAGGAAACAGGTTGTATCTAAAGTCAATCAGGTCTTCAAACATGTTAGACTGCCAATGGAGATGGAAAATCTGATCCTGGGGCAGACTGTTTTTTGGGGTTCTTAGAGGCATAATCCAGGTACTCCTCCACAGGGGCTGCCACGAAGCCAACAGGGGAGCCATACAGGTCCAGGAATTTTTGTTCACTTGTTTGTTTGAATTCAGCAGCCAGGTTACGGTGAAGGTTTCCGACCTAGGTCACATAGGGACCCCAGAGGTCATGAAGGGGAGAAACACCTTTTAGTGCCATAATCCTTCACTGCTGCCCTAAGGGATGGTTCATGTGTGTCTCCAACCCATGATTTTGCACCATCAGACATGTTCCTGCATGCTTTAGGAACTGCTGCTGAGCCACCTGGGGGAGCCCAAGCCTTGGGGATGGGATCTGGGGAGGAAAGGAGAGGGGATCTACTGTTGTTACGAGATAACACATTCATAGGCCATAATACATATGAGGAAAAATAGCTCTCCTACCATAAGCTGAATGCAGGAACTGAAACTCTGTTGGATAGAAATGTTAGTTGAAATTACCACTAAGAATCTGTGCAAAGTAGTATACATTGCAGTAACAAAAACATGACTTTGTCTCAAGATAGCAGCTTACCCCACACTATACAGGAAACAGAGAATGCAGAGGGTGCGAAGTGCCTTTACCCTGGAGCAGAGTGACAGACTTGCCATCCAGAAAAACCTGTTCATTGAGGAGGGGCACCTCCTTGGATGCCATGATATTTTCCAGGCAGCTGACCAAGAGGCTGCCTAGACATAAACAAGCCCAAGCTCCTGCTCTTTGCTTATCCATCCTAAGTTTCAATTCTCCCGAGTACTGCAGAGGGACTTCATAAATGACTAAGACTTTCTGTGCTAGAGGATGTGAAGGTTCATGGACAAAATCATCATCTTTGGCCTCTGAAGAACTCTCTATAAAGCCCAAGAGAGCTAGGACCAATGCAGAGGCATTTCATTCCCTGCAGCCTCTGGGAAAATGTGGTACCAAAAGAGGAGCACAGCCCGTGGGCTCAGAAAGACTGGGTTTGAATCCCAGCTCCAGTGCTTTTTAGCTGGGCAACTTTGGACAAGTTATTTAACCCCACTGAGCAAAATTGGAAGCCAGAAGCTTTAACTCACAATAAAGTAAAAATTAACATCTGTGACATTATGTAAAAACTGACATATGGAAAAATTAACACCTGGAAGACGGCAGGTGTTCAGAAAACACAAATTCCTTTCCTTTGCCTTTCCCTAGGTTCAACATATGTAAAATGGGAATAATATATTTGTACCTTCCATGGCTGCTATGAAATCAAGTGAGACAATAGATGAAAATTATTTATAAACAGATTTCTTGTGAGACAGTATTTCATTTTTATTTATATTAGTTAACCTATTTTCTCCTTTCCTTTCATTTTCAAGTCAGAGTATCATCAATATGATACATCACTTGGTCTCCAGATCTGAAAACAAGTCTCCGTTGGCTCCTGTCTCGTGTGGGGTCAAACAGTTCTTAAATGAGATCCTTAAAGTCATTAAGAGGTTGGGAAAGAGCTCCAAGTACCTACATTTCCTTTAAAACCAATGAAATGTTTCCTTTCATCCTGAACAGATGACATCCTAGGGTACTCTGAGCTGTTAAAAATAGCTCTCTCTGAAGTAACTTCTTGGTCTATCTGAAGAAGCTGAGAGAAATTAAAACCTAAGAGCCTTTGCAGGTTTCTACCCTGCAGGCCTCTATCAGCATCACAAATGGCTGGCTCTGGCAGGAGCTGAAAGTAACCTACTTTGCCCTCTCTGTCCTTGAGCTAGTTCCTCTATAGCAGGAGCTCCCCCACAGCAGTCAGGAGACCTGGTGAATGCAAAGGCCAGCCTCCCTGAGACAGGCTGGCCAGGGTATGTGTGTGCACGTGTGTTCAGTAGCAGAGTTAGCACTATAACCCTGGTCTTCCGACTCCCAGTTTGGGGCTGTCTGACACAGTATGCTAATTACCACCCTCTCTAGTGGATTTTGTGGGTTTCTGAAAAAATGGTCTAGGTTGGTTTAGTCATAGCTTAGAAATATGTTGACTTTTCAAAACAAAATTGCAGAAAATCAAGTCTGATGAGAGCTGATGTTTTAAAATCGAAACTTAATCAGTACTTTATACATGCCAGGAGCTTTCCAATCTCTACATCTGCACCCCCCCACTCCTACCCTGCACGCACGCACGCACACACACACACCAGTTTCAGCCTCCTCCTGTCTGCTCTCCCTTCCCTCTCTAGTCTGGTTGCTCTAGTCTAACTCCTCAACTTTTCTCTGGCCAACTGCAACCATAATGTAGTTGTTAAATACCCATGCGGGTGTGGTGGCAGGATGGCTGGGCTTGGATCTTTGTGCTAGTTCCCCAACTCCTCTAAATGTTACTTTTCCAACTTGGAAAATGGGAATAACAACAGTACTGACCTCAAAGGTTTACTGTGATATAAAACAAGTTAATATCCATTAATAGTTTAAAATAATCCCTGGCACATAGGAACCATTCAAAAAATATTAGCTATATATTTCCCATCCTCTACTTTCTTGCCAGACTAATCCTAAAGCAATTCCACAATCTCTCACCAGAAGTTCTGACATCATGAGAAAATACCCGCATGCTGGGAAATAGAGTCCTGACAAGTTCAGGGCATCTACCCTCAGCCAGGCCTCCAATGTTACATGGCTGTGTTACCTGCTGGTAGTGTCCTCTCCCACCATTTCCAGTGAGACTTTCACACCTTGACCTCTCTCCTTAAGAACCTTCCCTCTATCCTTGCTCATCTGTCTCAGCAAACCCAATCATCAGATAAGAACTCTCCACTTCCCAGTGGGCAATTTATTCTAAGCATTTCCACCTGTGAGCTTTCCTTTAGTCTGGGAAGAAGAGCCACCCTCCCCTGTGAGGCACCCCCCCTCCACCAGCTTCCCAAAGAAATGAACCAAGCTCTGGATTTCTCACCCCATCACAGCCTCTTTAGAGGCCTGGCTCCATCTGGCTCTTGCATCCGACTTGTCCTCTCCACTTGACCCTTCCCATCAGTACTTATTCAACCATGCTCATATTCCAAAAAAACCCCTCCTTTAACTCTACTTTCCCTTCTAATCAACATCCTCTTGTTCTCCTTTCCCTTGTGGCCAAGCTTTTTTTTTTAGGCGAGGCAACCCTTGGTTGACCTCACAGACTGCAAGGACCTTGTCAGTTTACAATCCCTTATTTTTTTTATTTTTTATGCCTACAGCACCTGGTCTTCCTAGGTGGTCTCCCATTCAAGTACTAACCGGGCCCAACCCTGCTTAGCTTCCGAGATCAGATGGGCCAAGCCTCTTTATGAGAGTAGTCTCTATCTGCTAAGTCTACTTCTTCACTCCCAGTCTCACCACCTGACTAACTCTGCTTCCACAGAGGTCGCTGATGGTCTCGTGACTACAAAGACAATGTATCTTCATTCCAGGTCTTACCTAACTTTCTGCAACTACTCGCTTCATTTTGTTTTAGACTGGATAGTTTACTAAGCCAACTCACAGATATCATAGCATTTAAATCATTTCTATATTATGAGATACTTGATAATCAAAACCAACAGTTTTTAAGATAGACCTTACCAATCTGATTAAATATTTTATCAGAGAGAATTTCTGTAGCTTTTATTATTTCTGCCTCCTATTACAGATATTTTGGGAAATACAGAATACAATATCAATGCTGAAATACCATTATACGTTTTTAGCCCGTGCGTCACTGCTCCCTAGTTCTTTGAGGACAGTGACTGCAGCTTCCCCAGATCTGAATCACCTACAGTGTTTTCTAGAGTGTCTTGGGCACATAACTAGGCCAAAATAAATGTCTGCAGAATGACGCATCTATGTAAACACTTTAGGGGTTTAACGTCATTTATTTGCATAAAATAGTTTTCATTTGCCCCAAACAGAGGGGCTATCTGATAACTTCATGATGTGTATGGGTGTGTGTATAATACGACTGTGACATGACTCCTACTTTAGAGACTGGCAATTGAAGTTCAGAGAGGTCAGGTGACTTTAAAGTTGCTAGTATAAAAAATGACAGATCAGGATTCAAATCTAGGTCTTCTGAAATAGCCCATTTAAACATCGCAGAAGAAAAGAGAATGACAGTAGAGTAAGTAATGGATTGGCACAGAAAAGCACCAGACCAAGGGCCAGAAGATCTGCTAAGGGTTCTAGTCCATATTCTATTGCTGATTCACTGGGTAACTTGGACAAAATACAGCTTCTCTCTGAATCTCTCTTGTCATGTGAAGGGGATGAACTGGAGGATCTCTGAGGTCTTTTCAAGCTTTCTAACTATAGAATAATAATTACTAAACAAGAAAATGGGGGTATTATCATGACATTCAACGCTTTTCCATGTCTTTGCCTAGACTCTACTCTGCCTAGAATGCCCAGCTCCGCCTTTGTGTGCTTAAAAGAATGCCTCTTACTTCTCCCTAATGCTAGACCCTCTCTGAAGCCTCTCCCTACACTTTCAATCTCAGGTACACTGCTCTTCGCAATTCTGCTTCCTCTCTTATGTATTTCTTTTACAATACTCATCATACTGTATAGTCATGAATTTGTTTATATGACAGCTCCCAAATGGACTGTAAGATACTTCAGGCAAACATGGCATCCTCTTTCTTTCCATCCCAGTCTGGAGGACATCAAAAAATAAATCCTTAATGAGTAAACAAAGAGGAACTTACATAAAACCATTTACAACGCTTAGGTAGGGAGCACATCTCTCAGAGAGGTGAAGCAACTTGTTCAAGTCTTTACAACTAGTGAGTAATGAGGATTCAACCCAGGACTAACTGCAGAGCCCATAGTCTTTCTCCTGCACCTTGTGTGTTAAGGCGTCAGCTGAGTGGGGATTACGATCAATGGGAAGACCTCTGTACTACTCCCAGCCCAAACCAGAACAAACTTTTTCAACATTTCCAAACATATTTCAATCTCTACCCAAAGAGTGTTGGGCTTTTATTATTTTTGAAAAACAAGTTTCTTGCATCAGCTTGAAAACCAGCTCTTTACCCTCTGGTGGCAAGTCTCTCACTCTCACTCTCTTCCAAATCCACACCCAGAAAGTCTGCTGTGTATGTGTGTGTGTGTGTGTGTGAATGAAACTCTCAGGGGCAACTGAGCAAAGCACAGATTTGGATATTGAGAGAACAGAAAAGGTTTTGTGAGGAAGATGCACATCTCAGACATTCCAGTAGAGGAGAAATGGGCCAACCTTAAGTCCTAAGTATAATGGACTTATACTTAGGACTTATACTTATACTTCTGCCCCTGTCCCCATACTGAGGGCTGAAGTGCCCCAGTTCCCAAAGGGAACTCCCAGGAGAATGAGGCTGAGCCCAGAGCAACTCAGGACAGGAAAAGGCCAGCAGGAGGGTTTATTTTTCTAAATAGATCCCACCAGCCACCCCACTCACCAGTATTATCTCTATTTTCTCCTTACCTGGAGCATAACTGGGGCTATTGGTGGGGTATAGGCTGGGATTGTAGGCAGGGGCCGCTGCTGGGTAGGCTGTTGGGTAACCTACAAAGAGACAAGAAAAGCTACATTTAGTCAGGCAAGAAGAAAAGCAGATTTCTGAGGAAACAGGATCTAGGTCCCAGACTTGGCCTTCAGCCTCTCTGTGGGCCATTTCAGACAATGTGACCAGCTTTTAGCCTCTAAAGAGAACGGCCATGCTACCCTGAATGAACCCGATCCCGTCTGATCTGGGAAGCTAAGCAGGGTCAGGCCTGGCTAGTACTTGGATGGGAGACCACCTAGGACGACCAGGTGCTGTAGGCATAAAAAATAAAAACATACGGGATTGTAAGCTGACAAGGTCCTTGCAATCTGTGAGGTCGACCAAGGGTTGCCTCGCCTAAAAAAATAAATAAATAAAGAGAAAAGCCACCAACACCATAACCCAACATATGCAGATTTTCCTGTCCATTAAAAAAAAAAAAAGTACAAGAAAAGTATGTCTATATACTCACTATAAAAATGTTAAAATAATATAGAAATGTATATGGTAAAAGTATAAGTTTACTTTTATATTCCTGCCACAACACTCTTCTCCCTAGAGGTGATAACAGTCTGGTGTCTATCCTTCCAGACAGTTTTCTATGCATTTTTATACACATATATTCAGTGGTGTGCTGGTAAATATTTAACAACTGGCTCAAGGGAACTGAGATGGAGCTGTTTTGTAGCATTTGCCAAATTCTACAGTGTAAGCACTCCCACCATGGCCAATTTCAAGCTACCACATCACTGAATGAGTAGTTGGGAACAGATGCTCATGACTGGCTCTAGAGAGCCCTGTACACAAGCCAGATCCGAAGCCAGATCCAACCCACCACTGTATATTCTGTACAGGTGCTATATGTTTTTGAAATTGTTTATTGTGATAAAATATATATAACAAAATTTGTGGTTTTAACCATTTTAAGTGTATAATTCAGTGGCATTATATTCACAAGGTTGTACGACCACCCCATCTGTTTCTAAAACTTTTTAATCACTCCCAAACAGGAACTCTGTACCCATTAAACAATAACTTCCTATTCCCTCTCCCTATAGCCCCTCGTTAACCTCTAATTCACTTTCTGTCTCTATGAATTTACCTATTCTAGATATTTTATAGAAGCAGAATCAAACACTATTTGTTCTTTTGTGTTTCTTTCACTTAGCATAATGTTTTCAAGGTTCATCTATATTGTAACATGTATCAGAATTTTATTTCTTTTTATGGCTGAATAATATTCTATTGTATGTACTGCCACATTGTTTATACATTCATCTGTTTTTGTTTTGTTTTACATATTTTCTATTAAATTTATTGGGGTGACATTGGGTAATAAACTTATATAGGTTTCAAGTGTACAATTTGAAACCTATAATAATAAAACATATGTATATTGCTTTGTGCGTTAAATCTGAAGTTAAATCTCCTTCCATCACCATATATTTGACCCTCTTTACCCTTATCTACCCCATCCCCAATTTCCCTCTGGTAACCACTGAACTGTTGTCTGTGTCTACGAGTTTTTGTTTGTTTTGTTCATTTGTTGCTTTCTGTTTTATATCCCACATGAATGAAATTATATGGGTATCAACTTTTTCTGTCTGACTTATTTTCGCTTAGCATGATTATCTCAAGATCCGTCCATGTTGTCGCAAATGGCAGTATTTCTTCTTATGGCTGAGTAATTGTCTATTGTATGTATGTACATCTTCTTTATCCAATTATTTATCAAAAGACGCTTGGTTGTTTCTGTCTTGGCCACTGTGAATAACATGGCAATTGAACATCAGAGTGCATATATCTTTACAGATCAAATTTTTTTGTGTATAGATACCCAAAAGAGAGATTGCTGGGTCATATGGTAATTCTATTCTTTATTTTTTGAAGAACCTCCCTGCTGTTTTCTATAGTGGCTGTACCAATTTACATTCCCACCAACAGTGTGTGAAGGTTCCTTTTTCCCCCACAACCTCTTCAACATCTATTACTTGTCTTACTGATAACAGCCATTGTTACAGGTGTGAGGTGGTATCTCACTGTGGTTTTGATTTGCATTTCTCTAATAGCTAGTGAAGTTGAGCATCTTTTCATATATCTGTTGGCTGTTTGTATGTCTTCTTGGAAGAAGTATCTGTTACTCATTCATCTGTTAATAGACATGTGGGATGTTTCTGTCTTTTGGCTATTGTGAATAATGCTACTATGAACATTGAGATACAAGTATTTGAGTCTTGCTTTCAATTCTTTTGGATATATACTGCGAAGCAGCAGCAGCATTGCTGGGTCATATGATAATTATGTTTTGCTTTCTGAGGAATCATCAAACTGTTTTTCACAGTGGCTGCACCATTTTACATACCTACAAGCAATTAATGAGTGCTCCAATTTCTCCATATCCTCATCAACACTCGTTATTTTGTTTTGTTTTGTTTTTGATTACAGACATCCTAGTGTGAAGTGGTATCTCTGTGGTTTTGATTTGCATTATCCTAATGCTTAATGATGTTGAACATCTTTTCATGTGCTTATTAGCATTTGTATACCTCCTCTGGAGAATATTCAAAACATTTGCTCATTTTTTAACTGGGTTGTTTTTGTTATTGAATTATAGTTTTTAAAAAACATATTTTGGATAGTAAACCCTTATCAGATATATAATTTGCAAATGTCTTTTATTCTGCGGGTAGTCTTCTCATTTTCTTGATAATGCCTTTGACACAAAAAAATTTTTAATTTAGATGAAGTCCAATTTATCAATTTTTTCTTTTGTGCTCATGCCTTTGGTGGTATATATAAAGATCCACTGCCAAATCCAAGGTCATAAAGATTTACACTTATGTTTTCTTCTAAGAGTTTTATAGTTTTGGCCCTTATATTTATATCATTGATACATTTTTTTGTCTGGTGTGAGGTAGGGGTATATATATAGTTTTATATTCTACCTTCTAACATTTTCACATTATAAGCATTTTCCTATGTAATTACACGTTCTTCAAAACATTTTAAATATCTTTATAATATTCCATTATGTAGCTATATCAAATCATTTAACCATTATTCTACTTTTAGATGTTTAGGTTGTTTGCAAATTTTCATTATTATAAATAAGCTATGACAGCCTAAATAAACTTTTGACTGAATCTCTGATTATTTCTTTAGGAACTAGTTCTAGAAATGAGATTTCTAGGTCAAAAGACAGTGCTATTTTTAAAGTTCAGCCATTTAAATATTTAAATATCTACTCTGTTTCAGACACTATGATTCTTGCCCTTGTGGAGCCTAGAATCTAAGGGGGTGTAAGAAGGCAGTGGATAAACAGTAAATATAAACAAACACATTCTTAAATGCTATAGAAAAGAGAAAAAGGCAGAGTAAAGGACTTCGAAAGTGCTATAGTACTGGGGAGAAAGCACTGCACTATTAAATAGGGTAACCAGCATAAGACACATTGAGAAGGTAAAGTTTTTGCAAAGACTTGAAGGAAATAGAGTTAACAATAACAACGAAAAATACTTCAAAATAAATAGTGCAAAGGCCCTAAGTTCAGAGTATATGGGACATGTCTGAGGAACAGCAAAGAGGCCAGTGTAACCGAAGTGCAACAATCGAGTGGGACAGTAGTAACAGAGAAAGCCACAGAGGTTAAGGGTTGGTCACTTCATGTATGGCCTTATGGGCTACTGTAAGGATTTCGATTTTTACTCTGAGTAAAATGAGAAGCCATCATGGGTTTTGCGCAGAAGAATATGATCTGACTTATTTTTGAAAAGGGTCATTCGGATCATTGTATTGAAAACAGACTATAAGAGGGGAAGGGTAGAGAAGGTGTGAGTTATTGCAAACTCTTGTCAACAGATGATGGGGCCCAGATAAGGGCTGTAGCAGCAAAGATGATAAGACATGACATGCTAAGAGTCTTACACACTGCTTTCTAGAAAGACTATCAATTGGTACTTGCACTAGCAGTGTGTAAGTGCCTGTCTCACTGCTCCCTGTAGTTTAATGCTCATGGGTATTTTGACAGACAATAAAAAGCTGATTTTAAAAGTCAAAGATTAAATCCCTAAATCCCTAAAAGCTTCTTTGGGATTTGTAAATATTGAGCTTTAATAATGTATCTTTGTTAATATGCCTTTCCCGAAATCCTTTCCAATTCCAAAGAAAATTAAAACCCCCTGCCCCATCATTTTCTGATTTCAGAACCAAGGAAGCCAACTTGTTGTCACTTAATTAGCAATCTGGAGGTCTGCCACTTCTCAAGAAGAAAATCAGGGGTTTAATCTGGAAAGGAAAGTAATCCAGTCTTGGATAAGCAAGCATGTGAAATCTGTATTCAGCTTCATGCAAGAGATTGTGAGCCAAGGGTCATCACATCCCTTGTTATGCTATCTCAGAAGCCTTTCTTTCACTTTAGGGGCAATTATAGGATCTTTCTTCAATGTTTCTAAGTAGAACTTTTTTTTCATTCACTTTATTTTGGCAGATATCATCGAAGGGCAGCATTAGAAGGAGCTTTATTTGATCCAACCCTCTTCATTTTACAGATGACATCCTCAGGCCAAGATAAAGGTAGGGAAGTAGGGTCATTGACGACTAAAGTCAGAAGCACCCAAAGACCATTTGGTCTACCCTCATTTTTGGGTTAGAGCATCCTCTACAACACACTCATGGGATCATCCATTCTAGTCTTTATATCTCTACTGAGAGTGAACTCCTTTCTTTCCTGAGAACATCACGAGACTTTTCTGCTTTTCTGAAAGTGACTTCTCATACCGTACCAAACTCTGACTACCTGTAACTTCTCTTTAGCACAGAACAAATTTGAAGAAACAGCATCCTCAATTACAGAACTTATTACACTGTACTTCACTGGTTTGTTTACATTTCCTATCCTGTCCTACCTCTCTTTAAATTGTAATCACCTTGAAGGCATAGCTATATCTCATTTGCCTGTACACAGTAACTCAGCTCTTCCTTCTCACTCCCTGCCCTGTCAACACACTACCCTTCTCTTCCC